TTGACACGAGTTTTGGTTTGAATTTGTGAACCGAGTGTGCGAAGAAGAAGACCACTAGGTTCTTTCGATTCAAAGCTTCTTCAACTTCAAGTATTCAAGAACTTGATTACTGCTGCGGAAGTCGGCAAAGGGCAAGAAATATAAAAGTAAAATTTTAACAACTCAGGTATCTTAATATCCCTAATCTTTTAGACTCGGCATTTAGAACTATACAACTCCTTGCTAAGCTTTAGTCGGGTCGATTTTAAACTATTTCTGTTTGTACCCCATAGCGTGCTTCTTCATTGTCGTGTTCGAGATTTAAAGTAATAGTATGAAACTACGAATCTGATTGAATATTGTTAATTCCCTAAAGACTTGACAGTGATGAAGTTTATGTGGCCAGTTAGTATGATTTCATGGCATGCTGTATTGTTCTGCTGATTTCTGTCTCACCTCCTGTCACACCTCCTTTTTTATACACCTACCTCGAAGGATAGTGTATAAGGGAGTTTTTCCATTTTAAGTGACATTATTCGAATTGGGATTATTTATTTATTTCAGAGTCGCCACTTGGGATAGGTTTGGCTTTTGGTGTCCCAAGTCACCGGTTTTTCTTGAATCCCAAATCGAGGAAATTTTCGACTTTCCAAGTGAAGTCTGCGAACCAGAAATTCTGAATAAGAAATTCTGTTGACTCGTGGGAAGGTGTTAGGCACCCCGGGATCCCGTGGTTCTAGCACGGTCGCTTAAACTATTATAAGTGGCTTAATATCTGATTTTAATACATGTCATCCTATATTGCAATTTTAATATCTGATTTTACCGCTTTTAATTAATTTTTAGGAAATTGAACATCGTTTAAAACATGTTTTTGGATCACGTCACATGAAATGCACCCGGATCCTCGACACATTTTATTCAATATTTTGGGATTTGGATTTGGGTCGCATGAAATGCACACCCGAGTTTAGGAAGGTAAAATTATTAAAGAACGTGCCTAAAGTGACTAACGTGTTGTTAACTTTGCGGGAAGCCATGAAAATTCGCTAAATGGCACGTCCCGATTTCTAAGTATTTTAATGAAGTAATTAAAGAGGGCCGCGCAGTATATGATTTTATTTGGCGCGGCGCACCTCGTTTTATTTTAAAGGCCATCCTAAAAGGGACTATTATTCTCTATTAAGGATTGTCTCTAAAGGCCTAATTAATTAACATTATTAATAAACTACTATTAAAAGTGTTCAAGGAATTCGGGCCCCAAGATCAAGTCCAAATTTAAACAAGAGGGAAATCTCTTAGTTCAAATTTGCTACTTAACTTGGAAGGCCCAAAATTATATTGCAAATTAAACCAATGACTTCGAATATGACTTCAGGCTTCTAGCAATTTGGGCTTCGAATCCAGCCCAAAAGATAGCCGGATTGTATAAGAAGCTGTTCAAAAGGCTTCTGAACGGGCCCAACACGAGGGCAGCAAATCTGGGACTTGGGCCCAAACCGCCCAGGCCCTTGACTTAATGAAGTTAATTATCTTAGAAAGAGGGGGCCTGGTGTCAGTTCTGAACAATTATTGTATAATTGGGCTTCTAAACTAGCTTAGTTCCATTAGCTGGGCTACTCGCTATTAGCACAAATATAGCCACCTACTTTGGAAATTTTGGCAGCCTCTTTCAAGTTCAAAAATTGTCACAATGCACAATTATCTCGCTAGCTAAATGATCTAACACAATTGCAACGATTAAATAACTATAGTGACTGAAATGATTCAAAATGGCCCAATGTTACACCACTAAATAAACAGACTGTTCATGATTTAACTTTAGGGTAACCAAAACATTCAAAGCAACTAAACCCAACTTAAAACATTTTTGGATTGTATGTATGTCAAAGCCGACAACTCATTCTAGAATTTATTTTCATAATAACATTTAAACCTGTGTGATATGCGTACAGCATTCAGTAAACGTGGATCTAAACATAACTCTAGTTTAATATTCATATTAATATGCTATCAAGTTTTCAAACGAAATTAAGTTATACTACACAGCCCAGCAGTCCAGTACAAGCAGTCATAATGTGCTGATAAGCTAATTTTCATCACAACAGTCATAATATTCCAGTTCCAAACAGTCCTTAATTAATTACACATGAAAATCTGATAAAGTTCTGAAACTAGTTGAAATACAGTAATGAAATTCAACAGAGACAAACAGGCAGCACTTCATTTCATTTCAAAAACTTGAGAGCTACATGATGTGTACCTGGAATTTGAGGCAAAATAAGAAGATGAGAATCAGCCAAGCAACAGCAGAATAGCAGATGTAATTCAGCAGGAAATCAGTAGATCCCAGGTAAAACCATGAGTAGGAATAGAATGCAACAGATTTCAAAATCAAACTTCAAACTTCAATCAACTAAAACAGAGCAACTACAACTAGAACTAAATGATGCTGCTGCAAAGTGATCTCCAACAGGTGAATTGCAACTAATTTCAAGGCCTGAAAATGAATTTAAGCTAGGAAAACTAGATGAACAATGTGTGTGTTTTTTTTTTATTTTCAGTAATTTTCAGTAACTTTGAAGTTTGAATTTTCGACTTCTGATTTCTCTAAGCTCTGAAAACTTGTTTTGGAGTTTTTGATCTATAAACCTTCTAACTTTTTTTTGAATTTTTCCCTCTCAAAACTTTTCAGATTTTCTAAAACCTCCAAAACTTCAAAACTTGGCAAGGGGTATGCCTTTTATAGGCAAAGCCTAGGGCAACCTTCAGATTTTCATTTACACCCTAGGTCCCTCTTTTGATTTCAGATTTTAGCTAGTTAGTCCTTTACTTATTGGCTTGTTGGCCAAGTAACACTACTAAGTTCCTGAAATTCAAATTAGAACCCTCTTCTAGAAGGTTCTAGGGGGTTCTATTTTAGTTACTGCACTATTCTTTCATTGAACTACCTATATTACCCTTGAATTATTTCTGAAATTACTAAACTATGTTACTAACCCCCAGCCTTGTTAACTTGGTCAAAACTGACCATAGTTAGTCAATCAAGAGCTGGGAATATTCAGCTATACCCAAACAATTCCTAAAAATAATAGAAAACCTAACAATTGAACTAATCAATCAAAACTGGAAAATAACTCTAATTAACACTAATGTCCTAAGGCTAATTTTATTGCTGAACTAATGAAACAATAAATGAACAAATCAACAATTCAAAATGAAACTATATTGTAACAACAGAAAAATGAATAAAATCTAAAGAAAATCAACAGCAAACATGGAATCATTCGAGAACAAAATTAAAACTGTAACCCTAAAAGAAAACCTAGAAAAAAATCAGTAGCAAACATAGATCATATAATTGAAAACACACAGTCGAATCAAAATAAGAACAAACTAACACTATATGGCTGAAATCAGACCCTAAACTAAGACCCAAAAATAAAATAAAATAACAAAAATACCAAATAGAAGAAATAAAATCAAAATCATGAAGAACAACAGAAAAGGAGGTAGAAGAGGAATACCTCGAAATCGCTCATTTTGAATCTAAAATTAAGGCCGGCTTTTTGAGGTAATTGGACTATAACCATCCATAATCATGTGTTTTCAAGGGAAAACACACAATTAAGGGTTGTTATAGCCCCTTAAATCAATAAACCCCAACTGTTGAAAACTAGGGTTCCTGGTCCGGACTTTGATCTGAAATTCGAGCCACTGGAGGAAGATTCAAGGAAAACTAAAAAGGGATTTGGGATGAGAGGGTCGTGGTGGTCAAGGGGTATAAAAATGGTGAGGTTTGGGGGCGGCGCGCCACCGGAGAACAAAGGCGGCGGCTAGGGTTTGGGATTTTTGAGGGCTTCTAGTGATATTTGAAGAGAGACAATGGTGTCATGGCCATGAGGGAGGTGAGGGGAGGCCCTGGTGTGATTTTGGGACAGATTAGATGATTTAGGGTTTTGGTCGATCCCTTTGATTTAAGATTCGAGAAGTTCGGCTGGGATTTGACGGACGGGGTTTGGAGTTTTGGAAAGAGGAGAATGAGAGGAATCCATGGTGTATTTTTGGGAGCATTTGGAGAGTTGCCGCTGGCGGAGGCGATTTCCGGCCGGCGGCGGACGCCGGAGGGTGGTGGCGTTACGCCGGCGTGTATTAGGGTGTTCTGAGAGATGATTGGTTTGGGGGGTAGGGGGGCTATTCAGACATTTAAATACCAAACATCCTAGTTAGTTCCGGACCGTTGGATTGATGAGATCCAACAGTCAGGATTAAAATAAGCGAAACGGCGTTGTTTTGAGCATAAAAAAGCTGGACCGGGTTGGGGGCTCGAGTTTGGACTGGGCTGGACGGGTTGGGGTTGGTTAAGGGGTTTTAATTTGGGCTTGAATCACATTTGGCCCAAAACGTGGGTCTTTAATAAGACCTCTATTTTTGCATTTTCCTTTTTTTTATTATTATTATTTTGTACTTTATTATTATTATTTTTTTAGATTTCGTTAAATGCAAAATTAAAAATAACAAAGACCTAATTTAACTCTAAATTGATTTTCTAAAATTAACTGAATCCTAAGTAAAAAATGCAAAAGAACTGTTTTTGCTATTTTCTCTTATTTTTGCAATGTCAATTAATTAATAAACCTAAGAAAAATATAAAATTGGATCCTAAATGCAAATGTGCTATTTTTATATTTTTTATGAATTATATCAATTAAAAATGCACAAAAATGCAAACAAACACAAAATCATACAATTAATTCCTAAAATTCAAATAATAAAAGAAAAATCCTAATTTTAAGAATTCTATAGGAATATTTCAAGCGAGGCAAAAATCACGTGCTCACATCACATAAATATTAAAATCAGAGAAAAGATTTTNGTATTTCAAAAACAAAGGTGTTCAATGTGACCATTGGTTGTTTAATTATTTGAGTACTCAGCATCATAGAATTCTGGGCCTCTTTGATTATTTGTTCAACTTGAGGGTTAGAAAAATGTAGTCTAGGGCTATTAGAATTGTGTACCTCGGGCTTGTGCGCATAGACAGGAACAATGTCCTGCGAAACAATAAGTCGACCACTTGTGTTCTTGGAAAACTTTTGTTGTGTGCTACTGCCTGGAGCTTGTGGTTGCCAATTTTTTGATGTTGTGTTCATCAACATAGCTGCTTGGGCATTCTTTACCATTTTATCTAGCTCCGGATTGGAAATATGCATTGTTGTTGTAGCTGCATCATGTATTTTAGTTGTCTCACCAATGTGATTATCCCCCGTTGCAATCTCAAGTGTAGCACCTATGTCCTTTGCATTAATATTTTGCTTTTCAGTTCCTGTAGAGCTCATTTTTTCAGCTATTGTTCTTGTATCATTATCCATCTGTTGCTCCTTACTTTATACTACCCCATGTATTTGTTTGGAACTGTCAATGAACCAAAGATTAGTGATGCTTGAATCTTTATATTTCTTTTTTTGATTCTCTTCTGATGCTTGAAGCTTTATGTCTATGTCTCATTTTTGAAAGTTCTCTATATATTTTTTCTTATTAGACTTACAATGAATTTAGTTCGTGATGCTTGTAGCTTTATGTCTACATCTAATATGATACTGGTTTTCGCATCTTTTGTATCATTCTCTTCAACCTCCTTCTTCAATGGTACTTCAGTTGCAGCCTCTGTATTTTCTGGCTTAGTCTCAGCAGGTTCTTGCTCAATCTTCTCGCTAACTTCTGGTTGTTCAGCCAGTTTGTCCTCTACATTAGCAACAATTGTTTCCTTATTTTGTTCTGCTTCTGAAACTTCTTCTTCTTTTGCCACAACTTTATGTGGTTCATTGGCCTGTAATTCTTCTATCGTTGGTTTGTCCTACAGCTCTTTCTCAGATTTTTTCTGTGGAATTTCAACCTTTTCAGATTCCACCTTTGACAACATCAACTGCTTCTTCTGAAACACTATCAGCTTCAGGTTCAGGGGCGGATTCTTTATTTAATACTACAACCTCTTCTCTTGTAACATCCGAGGCCGGAGTCTCAACATGCTTGTTAACTTCTTCAGTAGCAGTGGTTGCTGGTGCTTGTTGTTCGGCTTTAGGCATCTCGGCCTCATCGGTTTTCTTTACCTCTTCTGTTATAGGCTTCTCATCCTCATCAGCTTTCTTTTTCATTTCTTTGATAACAGTTTGTGCTTGTTCTTCTGCTTTCGGTTTCTCTTCCTTATCACTCTTCTTTATCTCTACAGTTGCAGGAGATTCACTTATATATATTTTTTACTGACTCAACCACTGGAATTGGAGAGTCCTCTTTAGGTTTCAATTCATTATCCTTAGGTGGGGACACATTCTTTTCTTCCATTGTCTTAACTTCTTCATGCACTTCCTTCTCAACTTGCTGTAGGAAACATGATAGCACAAGAATTAAAGCAGAACAAAGAGAAGTACCAACCAAGAAAAGTAGCAATCTTTTAAAAGTTGAACCAAAAGAGTAAAAGAGGAAAAGAAGGTAAAAAGATGAAAAAGTTCAAGCACACAAGGCTTTCACTCTAAAAGTGTGGCCAAAGGATAATGAAGTTTAATGGATTCACGAAGCTTAATGGATCATCACCAAAGAAAACCCCTCTGTTGATTCCATAATGCTTCGTTAAGAAACAAATTGTACTAGTCTCATTAATGTCGTCACTGACAAGCTTAATGGATCATCACCAAAGAAAACCCCTCTGTTGATTCCATAATGCTTCGTTAAGAAACAAATTGTACTAGTCTCATTAATGTCGTCACTGACCATTGTTACAAGAAGAAATAAGGTTAAGCTTTAAAAACAAAAGTGACAGAAGAAAGCTTCTAAATTTTATTGCTTTAGGACAATCATGCTGTCTATGACAATTATGCTGCTAAATTGTTGAGTGTTTAATGTTATTTGGTAAGCTTAATAAAGGGCCATCCAAGTTATAAAATAACTGCAGCCTTCATGGAAAGGTCCATTGTCTGTATGTACATGCACGAACACCTTTTCTGCACCTGTCAGACATACAGCAAATTTAGGTGTTCTGGTGATTCAAGCAATTATGGAACTGGTGCATCCTAATACCTTACCATTTGCTTTCGCCGATCTAATAGCATAATGTAACATGTTTCTTTCAATACCCAGCCTTCGAGTAGATTTGGAAACACATAAGTTTGCAATATAACCATATCTGTTGGAGGATCTTGTTTCAAGGTTGCAGAAAACTTAGGCATTCACCCTTTCCTGTGGAAGAGAATAGAACCCTTTCACTCTTAAGTACTGTATGTCTGATGTTCTTTTCTTCATCCCTCACCTGTTGATGTCAACAGAATAGAGTGATTAAAATTCTCTAATGATATATATAGCAGATATTGTGTGTTTTATTAAACTAATGAAGTGAAGAAGTATATATAAAGCTTGCCTTGAAAGAATGAAGTAAAATTAGTGAATTAATATTTTCTCTATTCTGATCAATCATTTTCTTTGTATGTTTTATTGCAGGAAATGAGAGGAATTGGACGAGGAAAACGTGGGAGAGGCGGGACGAGCTGTGGTCGTGAAAATTTTTAAGGACGTGGCAATTCTGGAGCAACGTCTCAGCCACACATACAGACCGGACGAGTATCTGATGCATCTGTAGAGATAGGACAACCAGGTAACCCGAGTCAAGCACCTTTACAGTCCAGAAGAGTATCTTTAGAAACACAATCATCACGAAATGTAGCAGAAATTGTGCATTGCTCTCCAGAGGCTGAAAATTGTGCAAGTTAGTTTCTTTTCTTTGTTGTTTTGTGAAAATTATTTTTACTGATTGAGTGGAGCTACCAATGAACAATAGTATCCTTTTACTTTGCAGTTACTTCGGCAATAAAAAAAGAGTAAGAGGAAGAGGAAAATACAAATCTAAAAGTTTAGAAGTAAAAACTAAGTGTGGTGGCAAAATCAAAATTATGATTCCAGATGACATTGATAGAGCAGTAGGTTCTGGGGCTAGAGATATTGTTAATTACTGTGGTTTGATCATGAGGAGCACTATCTCGTTCCAAGATGGAAATTGGTAGAAAATAGTTCTGAAACACGGAGAAGTAATGTGGTTAAAGGTCAAGGTAATAAACTACTTTCAATATTGTATTGACTTTGAGTTGCAAGGTTTATTTATGTGGTTAGGATATTGAATATAATGTTACATTTATTGTCAGGATAAATTTGAAGTTTGCAGCGCGTTGCGAGAGCATAGGTTTCAGGCCTTTGTAATTAGCACTATGCAAAGGCTTTTTAGAGCATGGAAAGCTCGACTCAGCATTCTGTACTCTAAGTACAGTACTAATGAAGAAAGATTGTCTCATCGACCTGAAGATGTTGAGCTTGAGGACTGGAAATACCTAATACAATATTTTGGAAGTCCGGAATTTAAGGTATTAACTTAATACTTGAAGATTGTCTCTTTGAATGATGATTTATTAATCTGTTTACTTACAGGTTGTAAGTGAGAGGAACAAAAGAAATAGAGAAAAGCAAATAACTAAGCATACTTGTGGTACAAAGTCTTTTGCAGAAATAGAGGAATCTACGGTAAAAATATATTTAGTCCCCTACTATCACATATGATTCTTTGTTATTTACATATTTATATATTCGCTTATATATTTTTTCTCCGTAACTATATTTCAGAGAAATCCTATTACTGGAGAATTGGACACACCAGATAAAGTTTGGGAGAAACAACATACACGCAAGAATGATAGAGGCGAACTGGTGTGGTTGGATTCACAATCCCAACAAATTCATGTAATTATCTAAAAACACTTATAAAGTTCTCTGTTTCTATAAGTTTCATTTAATATATTTTATTATATTTTGATTTAAATGATTATGCATAAATGCAGAGTCAACTCCAGGAAGTTGTCGCTCAGTAACAATCTGAGGAGAACGAGCATCCCATGACTAGAGATGAGATTTTATCCTCCGTTGTTGGTGAGAGAACAGGCTATGTTCGTGGAAAAGGATACGGAAAGAAGCCTCCTAAAAAGAGTAACATTCAGCAGGCAAACATAGAGGCCAGCGTGTCTTCTGCTATTGATATTGTGCGTCAAGAGATGCAAGCCGAGATGGATAGGAAGTTGCAAGAAGAACGTGAACAAATGGCTGCTGAGTTGCGAAGAAATATGGAAATTGAGTTGGAAAGGAAGTTGGCAGAGGAGCGTCAACACGCAAATAAGGAGAGTCAACACGCAAATGCAGAAGCAGACAAGAGGATCTCTCTAGAAGTGAAGAAGAAGATGCAGGAGCAATTTGCTAGTTTTTTGACCAGAATGCAACAACAACAGGTACTTGCTCCGCTCTTTCTTAACAAATAGAAACTGGTTTCCATTTTCTGCTGAAGTTCTTTCAGTTAAACTTGGCATCACCTTGAGATGTGTTATCAAATGAAACAAAGTAATAGTATAAAGCAAGTGATACTGCTAAGTTTTCTATCCCTAATTAAACGTTTCACATTCTGCAAAGAAGAAACTGAGATTGAAAAGGAATTTGTGCCTAGAACTCAAGAATCTTCTTTGCCTTCTTTTTTGGTGATGAAAGTATGAATTTATGTTAGAATGTATGAATTACCATTGGCGATATCGAGCAAGAGATCAGCAAGATTAATAGTGATGGATGTGGAAAAACCAACAGAGGAGAAGTATTCCAAGGCAGTAGATGCAGGACCATAGTAAATAGGGCAGCCCTCAGAAAGCAAGACTACCTTATCAAACATATGGTAAAGCCTACTAGATGGCTGGTGGATTCTAGTGATCACAGTTCTGCCACCGTTGGCTAGGCGCTTAACTGTAGTTAGAATCCTGAGAGCTGTAGTAGAATCCAAACCAGAAGTAGGCTTATCTAGCAATAGTAAACTTGGGTTGATTAGCATTTCTTGACCTATGCTTACCCTTTTTTTCTCCCCACCTGATATCCCTCTAAATAATGGTCCTCCAATCCTTGTTCTAACGGTGTGGAGCAAGTGTGGAAATTCTGATGCCATGACTAGGACAGTTTTGGATCATTTCTTTATTTTTCATAACTAAGAAGTTTCAGTCAGGCCCTCATTGAAGCTGGCTTTGAAGAACTTGAATGTTTGATCTTCTTCACACTTTAATGTCTCGGATCTGTCTTGAAATTACGGAGTCAACCATTGATACTCTTTCTCTATGCAACCTCTTACGCAAGCGTTTTAGTGTGAATAGTGCTGCAGATTATTTTTTTTGAAACTCTTGCTCCGCTCCTGCACCTGTTCTGCTCTTTGTTGAGTATTTGTTCTAGCTGCTCTTGAGTTTTGATCTTCTAGCTGCTCTTTGTTCTGCTCTTTACATGGGATATCTTGGTAAGATTGATTTTGTGAACTGGAAAGTTCTAATGATTGAGCAAGTACTTTAGAACTGGAAAGTACATTTGTGTCATTTATAGAACTGGCTAGCTGCTCTTTGTTCTGCTCATCTATTTATGTCATTTACATTTGTGTGGTCTGCGCCATGCATTTCTTTAGTAAGGAGGAAACAGTAAAAAATGTGAATTCACCTGACAAAGAAGATGAGTTGGATAACGATATTGGGGTTGCATTGTTAGGGTGTGTTGATGAGTAAAAGTGTTCTGAATTATGTCCTAATGAGAAACAAACTGAAGTAATAAATTCCTCTACTTTTGGTACCTCATCATCTTACTGCAAGTTCATAAATTGTTTTCTTGGTGTTTTGGATTTTTCTCTTTACTTGCCAAGAAGGCTTACCATCCCTGTAGTTAGCTTCTGCCCTTTTTGCATATAAGATTTTCCTCTATCAATCTTATATGTTTCTAGTTGTAAATAAAGCTTCTACCCTTTTTGCATATAAAGCTCACTCCTTTAAACTCTCTTGAATTGGTCTATGTGTTGATGTTGCTGCTGATTTGAAAATGGTTATTTGGTTCAACTTGTCCCAATTAAAGTTGGCTTCTTTTGGTTGATGTCTGTGGTTGTTTTTGTCGACTTGTATTCTGCCACTGTTATAACTATCAGTTCTCTGATTCTTCACTTTCAACATTCTATTTGATTAGCAGGGACAAGGCACTTAAACAGTGGTATCGTTCAAGGATCACTACTAGAAATTGGAGCTATGGCAACCCTTCGAAAACCGTTACGATAAATAAACTAACCGTCCCTATAGGGCTAATGGGATGGATTTGGACGCGTTCCGGGATTCAGTGTTACAATAGGTCTATTGGAACGGTTATTTGCAACGGTTTCCAAACCATCTCCATAGATAGGGTATTGGAACGGTTTGGACTGCTACCACTATTCTATCTATAGGAACGGTTTCCCTTTCAGTTGGGACGATTATAAACCGTCCTGGTAAAATAATACAGCTGACTTTTTCAAGTCTTGCAACGGTTGTCATGATTTATTGCAACAATTATCAGTACACCTACTGCAACGGATATTATAACATATTGGAATGGTTATTAGGGGTTGCTCTTATTATTTGCTAGGTCTATTAGAACGGTTATATCTCTATTGCAACAAATTGTAATTTCTGATATTTATGGAAGCAAAATGAGAAATGATTTCTTATTCTATGAAATTGTTTACACCATATCCAACTAGCATTATCCATGTACAAAAACAAAATATGGATACATTGTTTGGCCAAACAATTCAAAAGTCAAAATAGATGTATTTGCTTACAAAAAGTTCAAAACTAAAATATCCTTAAACATAATAATAGAAAGTCTAACAACGATCAACAACACTCAAGTAAGAATTTCGTCACTGCTTTCATCCGCAATCACTGCACCTACAAAACACAATGAGAAATAATTAAACAAAATTTTTAGGATAATTGAATCACAAAGTAATTGAATGACCAATTTGATAACTTGAAAAATTTCAAACTCCCTAAATTCTTAAATTTTTTGGCAGAGTTTCCTTTGTAAATATGACTATCCCAAAATTTTCAACCTGCTCAAAACATCATTTGTAAATACAACTCTGTGACAGAACACTTAATTTGCACATAACAATGAAGAACTCCCACTGTCAGTCATGGAAATTGGAAAGAGAACTTAGTATTCTCTCTGCATCTCATTGCCTGTTATATAAGTGAACTGAGTTTAAGAGAAGTTATCACCAATTGCCTTGGGAGGGAAGGGGAAACATCGCTATCAGCACAATGGGATTGCTGCAGAGTTGGAGTGGTTTAGGGACTAGCATTGCTAGTTTCATATTCATGTGGGATATGATCCGTCGATACTGTCCCCCCGAGCTCATTCGAGCTTCAAATAAGTGGACAAGAAGAATCAGGAGCTTTTTCTACCCTTCCATTCAGATTTCCATCAGTGAATTCATGAGCAACAATCAGTACTTTTTTTATTTTAACTAAGCAATATTAATACCTGAAATGAGTTGGCCTTCTTTGTTGCTATTAGTAGATGGACGACGGATTGGTTGCAAAGTTGCTTGTTGTGCACAAGAAGCTTCTCCTGGAGAAGAGCCTTCGAGAGTTCAAATATGCTTGCAGCAGAACTTCTTATCTGATCATCATCGTTGTGTATTAAATCATTCAGGAGGGTGTACACCCGTGTTCTAGAAGCAATGCTGACACTTCCACCAGCATGCTTAATCACACCTTTCAAAGCAGTCAGAGTAGCCTCACGAATTCCAACATCTGATGTCTGTTGAACCATAACTCAATAGAATAACTCTGCTTCTTAAAAAGAGACGAATTGCGACAATAGAGAAGTAGAATAAAGTACAACTATCACCTGCACGCCAGATAACAGATCACCAACTAAAGGATCAACCCTGGTGCTGAGAGCACTAAGCTTCCCAAGCGCAAGAGCTGCACTAGATCGTATTGTCCTATAATAGAACTTGTATAAGTTTAAGGAATAAAGATCACAAAGAACTGAAGTTATCGCTTCAAGAAGTAATAGGTGTCATAAAGCAGTCAGAGAAAACAGATCAGAAAGGCATCAGTTTCACAACACATCATTTCCCCTTTAACAGCCAAAAAGGGTATACCACTATAGAACCAACCTCGTGTTATCCTGTAGACACTTGACAAATGTTGTTTGAAGCTGGGGAAGAAAAGGCTTTAGGGCTATTCCTCCCCTTCGTATTATGATGCTCAGAGTTGATAGAATTGCGCTCTTTACTTGCCAAGGAAATCTGTCACCTATAATACGAATCAAGGGCCTGCAATTGAAAGCATAGTACGACAATTTCAGCATACGCTGATTGACTTCAGAGAAAATGAAAATACAAAATCTAGAAAGT